ATATATATATAATTTGAGATTCCATCCAGTTTTGCTTATTCTATTTGCTTTTATTCTCTCCAGTACTGGGAGTTGAACTCAGGGCCTTCTCACTGAGCTACATGTCCAGCTTTCTTTGTATTTTTTTTAACTTTAATATAGGGTCTTTCTAAATCACCATATTCCCCAGAGTGGGTTTAAACTTACATCCTCCTACATTAACCTCCCAGAGTGCTGGGGTTACAAACATGCCCTGTGGTGCCCAACTCACTGTAGTATTTTTAAATCACTACAATGGATGTTTATGCAGACATTCAGTGTAAGTTACATCCACCCTTGAGTAGTTCATTGAGATTGTTTTTCATTCCTGCTGACTTTGGGTCCCTGCCCTCCCTCACTAATTGTTGCTTCTTTTTATTTCCTCAGAAGCTATAAAGGTGAGCAGCATACATTTTACAAGTGACAGCAATCTCCTACGCCTATCAGGCCTCTTTCTCTGTTGAACATTAAGATGGTGGGAAAATAAGGCCTTGGTACATCGAGGAATCTCTCAGAGAAGACTGCAGCTTCCACCCATTATTCCACGATTCTCTCTAGTGCCTCCTCCTGGGCAAGGAGAGCAATTATCATCCTCAGAATGGAGCTGTTTTGTACAGAAAGTAAAATGGCATCGCCCATGGTCTAGTCTCCAAACCCAGTGAGTCAGTTATGATAACGGCTGCTGTACACTTTTAGATCCTGACCTACCTAGTACACAAGCTGAATTCCACATGGATGAAGGACCCTGTTTTTACGGCCTCACTACCTTGCTCAGATCAAGCACAGGACTATGACATTCACTTCCATAAACAATGGAGGCCATGTTTGGGTAGCCAGATTATTGATGAACCAGCATCAGGAAAGAGTGCTAAGGTCAGGCATGGAAGGAGCACAGCACAAAGGAAAGCTGAGACAGTTTGGAGACCTCAAAGGTTCCCAACAATCGGTTTTTGATTAACTCATTTTCTCTTCCTAAGTGCCTCTTTCAATATACAGAACGTCAGTAACTGTTCTTACTGGTGAGTTACACAAAGACAGTACATTTAGACAGAGATGTTTCATAAAATATTTCTTGAATTGATGAATGAATAGTGGAGAAATCTGCTACTCTTAGGATCAGTTGCAAGGATTAACATCAAGACTCATTCTCCCTATCTGGTACAAAGTACTTGACCTCCTATATAATCCAGGTCACAGTACTTGTCGGTGCTAAGAACTGATAAGCCCTTGAGGCTGCCCATTTTGAATGTAGACAAATGTTTTAAAGGTAGCTACATTTTTATAAATGATAGGATATCTTCTCTTATCTCTAATATAAATTGATAACTTATGATTTAAAAATAAAATTTATTTTTTAGCAAAAACAGCTCCTACTCAACCCAATAATTCTAACAATTATACTTTGAAGAATTGGCTTTGGCCAGCTCTGAAGCAGTAAGGATGCTCCAGTTTGGGTTTTTGTTTTCTTGTTGTTGGCTACAGCTTGTCTCTAAAAGAAGCTTAAGAAATGCTGCTTTAAACATTTTTGTAGCAGGTGAATTTTCACAGAAGAAGTTATAGCTACTCAGATCAACACTAAGTTCCCTAAGTTCATATTTTCATCTTGGTTTGCATTTTTAATAAGCATTAGATAGTCTTGATTTCATCATCTGCTGAACTGTGAACAAATGCTACACAACATTTAATGTGGGGCCGGGGAGCTGGCTCAGTGGAATAAGTGCTTCCCTGGCAAGTGCAAGGGCCTGAGTTCAATCCCTGGTTCCGCCAAAAATAAATAAATAAATAAATCTTAAAACCAAAATAACACATGCACATGAGCGCACACACACACACACACACACACACACACACACCATTAAATGTAAATACCAAGAATTTACTAATCTGTAACCTATAAGCTGTTTCCTAAAAGAAATAATTGGAAAGCTTTTGTTATACTTCTGGCCAACTCTGGTATGTATATAAATTGGGGGTTAAATTGCTGAATTTGACATATAAATTACCAAATAATTAAAATTGATTACTCGCTAAGCATCTAGTTATACTTTTAGACACTATAATTTACTGTCCTTAGAACTTCTATTTGATTACCAATAAAATAATTATTTCTACTTGTCTCATAGGAAGCTATAAATCTTGCAGTAAAGTTATAAATGTGCAACATTTGCCAATTTCCATGGTATAAACTATTCTTACAATAGACAATTTCAAATTACCAGTGGGAGCTCACTGAACATGGAGCTGTGAAGAGAAATGTAGCACAGGCTCTGGAGAATCAGTAGGACTGGCTTCCAGCATTCCAGAAGGAAGGGGAAAACAGATGCAAGCTACTAAGTGTCTCCTTTCCTTTTCACTAAGGAAAATGTAGCTGCTTTGCTGATGCTGTCTCTACTCTGACTTCTCAACTTTAAGATGTCTGAGCAGTTGTATGTGGGGATTGCATCTGTCCTAGCTCTGCTTCTCACACTTTTTAGCTGCAAGCTGGGCTGGCAAGACACCTGGACCACTCCCCACATTCCTCACGAATGACCCCAGTCCTGCTTGCCTGATCCCAAGAAGCAAAACCAAGATGAATTTTGTTGCAAAAGAAAAGTTATGGAATCACACATGGGAGAGACTTGTCTTTCTTCTCAGTCTAGCACAGAAAAGGCTGACAGAATCAACACTTTCTGAGCCAACAGAATATACGTGGTGAAACGCTGAACTTGTGCAACATTGAGACTTTATAACTTTGGATGTACATGTGATAAAAGAAAACATGTTATAACTGTTGCTTATTCATCAAAGCCACATTCTTGGGAAGAACAGAGGGACCAGATCATGAAGATGATTTACGAACTCACTCAACACCAAACTGAACGACAGTATCTCATGGTTAGAAAAATCAGATTAAATGACGTAACTCAAAAGATGGCGGCGGTGTTTAAGCCAAACATTTGGACCACATTGCCTAAAATTGTAAGAATAACTTTTTCAGTTCTTGCTTACAACTACCTTCTGTTATCAATCGATGCTTACTAAATTTAAACTTGTTTGAACACCTTACTTCATATTAAAACTGAGCTTGGAGGGAAAAGAAAATCAGTTAAGGGAGCATATCTGGTTCATTGTATTCCTGTTTTCAGTTCAAAAAATCTTAACCTAGGTGTCTTAATAGAGGAGTATATTCATGTGCATCTTCAACAAAAATCACTGATATCCAATTGTCTTATTATTAACTAGTGTAATTGAGAATTAATAGAGTCAATTTTCATCAAAGAAAATGGCTTTTTCTCAAATTGGCCTCTAGCCTCCTAAAGTGATCATGAAAATTCCAATAAAGTATGACTGTAATAACTAGAGAGTTATAAACAACTGTCTAGGTGAAAATTTTATGTGTGGTCCTTGTATAGGGGTAATTCTGCTTCTTTCCATTTCTTGAGTTCTTTCTTTACACTCAGAAGATCTGTTCATGCAAAGGAGGAAAGAGAATTGAGTTATCTTTTATTAAATGTCTACTGTGCTCAAACCACTGGTTCCTCTTTCATTTTGATTCCTGGAATCTGCGTTGGAAAAGAATACAACTTAAAAAGGGAAGTGAGATGGCCCATCTAGGACCTTTTCCTGCTTCTAAGCTGCTCCTAAACTGCTGTCAGCCCACCTCTTTCTCTACCAGAATTCTTATGTCCATAGTGGAATCTACTGTCGTTGGTTTTCATAGACTGGAGTTCCCCACCTTGAGCATCTAAGGTGATTTTCTACTGAAAGGGATGACCATGAGACCAGAGAGCTAGAGGTAGTGGCATGACCACATTCCCCCGATATCATAATTATCAGAAAACTGTCATCCACCCAGGATAGTAAAGGCAAACCTTTTAGAACGTCCATTGATAATGTAGCCAGCTGCAATCTATATGTCACCCACACTGACCTAGAAGGTAAAAGAGTCAATAAAAAGAGAGTAAAAAAAATCTTTGGGAAGTCTTGGGAGCATTCAAGGTGACTTTCCACTGCAGCTTCCTAATCCTTGTTGAATTGCTGCTATTATTATTACAACTACTACTATTACTGCTACTACTACTCAAGAAAGTTGAGAATGTCCTGATCAAGAGATTAGTATCTCACACATCCGTGAATTTTCTACAGGGACGAGGAAAGATGCACCCACTCTGCTACTGATATCAAATTGTTGCGAGTTTTTTCCTAGAGAAAAGCATTTCCTCCAGTCTTGTAGAGGAAATTTTCCCCAGTAATCCTTTCAACCCATGTAACTTAGGAGAATGTTCCAAAAGGGCTCCAGCTTTGTCCTCGTTGAGCAAGCCAGATGGTTGGTTTTCCCCAACTGCCACGTCATGAACTGCTTCATTCTGCAGCCTATGCATGGGATAGCAACACTTGTGATAAATCTTGCTGAGAGCTTTTTCTAGCCAAAAGCCCTCATGCATAGCAAAGTCTCTCAAAGAGCCTCACTTGCAGCAAGTCAAGATGGCAGAGGGGGAAGGAAAAGTCCACGCAGGCATGCTGATCTTGGAGCCTACACAGCAGTGAAACTTCAGTTCCAGGAAATCCCCATGGTGGAGATCTGCTCCACACTTCTGGGTGACTAACTCAGGAGT